GAGAGAGAGAGAGAGAGAGAGAGAGAGAGAGGGTTGGAGAGAGTGGACAGTGTGTGCGTCACTCCTGTTTGAGGCGCTGTAAGGAAGTGACGCCCAAATTGATATTGGATTCAATAATTCGCTCACAAACCCTCTCTCTCTCTCTCTCTCTCTCCCTCTCACTCACACACCAGTGCTCTGACCGGCGCTTATATATGCCCTCCAAATACGTGAGATAACTAATGCATAAAAGCAAAGGCACACAACATGTATATAACCCTTTGCTCTCAAGTGGTATTACTATTAGTAGGGATTGAGAGTAAGGGTAGGGATAGAGTTGGGGAACACATAGTCGTCAACCGGTGGACGGGCTGTTGTTGTTGGAGCCGACAGTCTGACTGCAAACACTATTTGCTATCTCTCTCTCTCTCTCTCTCTCTCTCTCTCTCTCTCTCTCGCTTTATGCGTGTATAGACTATATATCTCTGGATGAGTACTGAATACACACTCTCTTCGTATATGGCATGTAATATATAAAAATATATATTAAATTCCGGTTAAAGTATTACATCAGGCGATGGAGAGGACCGGTAGTATAGACAGAGCGCACAGGGCTTTGAAAGTTGAATAACGGGGTTATTTAAGTGCAAACATTGTACACACGCTCTCTCTCTCTCTCTCTCTCTCTCTCTCTCTCGACTATATGACTATACCCTCCATATAGTTGTCAGGCTTTGGTAAAAAACAACTCCCAATCCCTGAAACCAAAATAATAATACCATGTGTTTAAAAACCCTTATCTAATACAGCAATTGTCAATCAATCAGTTGATTGTCTATCATATAGTGTACAGTATATAAATAATCAATGCATTGAATTGTTTGTTATATGCATTAGTAAAGCATCGATTTTACAGGTGAGATGTGATAGATGTGTTGAAAAGATTATGTCACTTAAAAAACACATCATTGTAAAATATTTATGTATATTTTTCCGTATATATTAAATATTTTTATATAGATAAAAAATATTTCAAAAATAAGCTTTTGAATGTGTAGTTTATTGTTTTGTGTTGAATATAACATACTGTATTATGTTTTTATGCTTAATTTGTTGCCTAACAATACAGTGTACCCCCGTTATAGAAAATAATCCGATTTCAGCTGTTTTACACGTTTATACATTTTATAAAATATAAATTTTAATATTTATAAATTATTATACAATTTTAGGAAAATTCTATTATGTTTTTTAATTATTTAATTAGGATGGTTAGCTAAATTATATTGTACATTTTATAATGCATTACCAAGAACTAATTGTTTTTCCGGTATATTAGACATGCAACTTTTTCCAATTTTCATTTCCCTGCCCTGCCCTGTTCCCTGTAATTTTTGCTTAGAGGGAATCCCTGCCCTGCCCTGTAGAGGCTAACAGGGAACCCCGGGGTAAGTCATTCATTATAATAATTATTTGCTATATTGGGTCAAAATGAGGACGTGTTTGGAAATACAAAATAAGTTTATTTTACCCCAAAACTGTTTCTCTCTCTCTCTCTCTCTCTCTCTCTCTCTCTCTCTCTCATTGCCGATCCCTTTACTTGAATACCATATAAATATACAGCACTTCCTAATCATTTAGGCATTAGTTAATAGACATGCAACTTTTTCCAATTTTCATTTCCCTGCCCTGCCCTGTTCCCTGTAATTTTTGCTTAGAGGGAATCCCTGCCCTGCCCTGTAGAGGCTAACAGGGAACCCCGGGGATTCCCTGTAATTTCCCTGTAAATTTTTTTAAATGAATATTTCTTATAAAAACATGTATTTATTCATTATATTTCATTATTTCAATAAATATACTTAAAATACATATATATTATAGTAATATAATTGTATTACAATCTCTTATAACACAAAATTCATTCACAACTATTGACTTATTTATCACTCATTTTCTGTATTACAGGGAATTTACAGGGAAATTTTGTTACAGGGATTCCCTCTAAGGGTTACAGGGATTCCCTGTCCCTGCCCTGTTCATTGATTCTCATTTCCCTGCCCTGTATTTTCCCTGTACAGGGAACAGGGAATCCCCGGGGAATCCCTCTAACAGGGAAAATAAGTTGCATATCTATTTCATATGTTTTACGTTTAATATTTTATTAAAATTTTTGAAGAATAAGCGATGCTTATAGGGGTTTATTGGTGACAAAAGTGCGTTGTTGGGAATATTTGTTTTTATAAAAATAGGTTTTTCGTTAATTTTCTTAAAATATGCAAAATCGGGAATCTAAAAACTATAGAGCCTTATATATACATATACACTAGGAATTTTATATATCTACATAGCGTTTTATTATTGATTTCAATGTAAAGTGCGCTAAAAGTATTTACATAAAAGTTGCCGAATTAAAAAATATTTAACCAAAATGTATATCTAATTGTTGGCTATAGTTTCCAAAAATAATATGGTCAATTTTGACCACGCGTGCCGATCGCCGCCCCACCGTAAATAGCGTTAAAGTGAATGCACCGATTGGTTCGGGGATCCGCTAGCACTGGCCAGCAATTATTATGAATGTTTATGGCATGGAATTTATACACTTGTTATCTAGCTATCATATGAAATAATGATTAATGATTTCCCGCCACACACTGTCCAGTTACAGACCTATCACCGAACCGCACCCCAAACCCCCCCCCCTTATTGAAAAGCATTACGGGAAATGTGTGATGTCGGTGATA